CTTCTATATATATATATATATATATATATATATATATATATATAATATCAAGAAAAGACATTATCAATAATTATCAAAAAAAGACATTATCAAGAAAATTAAAATTTCTAATATATTGAAAAATATTTATCAATTTTTAAAAATTCTTTTTATATTACAGGAGGTACACTATTTGGAAAACATTTAGTTAGAGATCTAGATCTACAAAGACCATGTTCTTGTCAAAGAAGACGCAAGCGTTGTTTTTGTTTCCGTCCAAATCGCAATGAAAATTGGCTTTTTTCAAGATATTCCACTGGTTGGAAATGTGGTCTACATGCTGACTGGACAGAATTAACTAGTTGTGTTGATACTGAGTTAAATAAAATTGAGGGGGATGGGATAAAACGTAGATACTTTTATATAACTATTATAAGGGATCCTGTTGCACGATATTTATCTGAATTTAAACATGTACAAAGAGGTGCAACATGGAGAGGAGCTCGTCATTGGTGTGGAGGAACTCAAGCAAATATACCACAATGTTATCCTGGTTCTAGTTGGCAAGGAGTTTCTTTAGAACAGGTAATATTATATCATAAATTTCATATTCAATATTAAATAATATTCAATTTGAAAATATCTTTGTATATTATATTTTCCATGAATCCATAACAATAATTCTTTAATGAATAAAATGTTATCTAAAAGCTATATAGAAATACATTAAGATAAGTATTATTCCTTATCTTGAGGGTATTTGTCTTTTTCTTTTCTAAGATAGATATAATAATTTTTCTCTTTTATATAGATATATTCTCTTCTATGAAAACAACATTTATTTGATTGATATATACAATTTAAAATATAAATATATTATAAAGTATATAAAAATATATTTGTATTTATATTAATATTTTATATTGAATATAATACATATATATATATATTAAAAAGTCAAGTGAAGAAAATCATATAATTATAATGATTATGAAACGAGATTTTAAGTCCCTTTAAATTAAGTCCCTTTTTTACAATATAATTATATTCATTTTATATAGTTTATGGCGTGTCCATATAATTTGGCAAGCAATCGTCAAACAAGAATGTTAGCTGATCTATCAATTGTTGGTTGTTACAATTCTACACTCAGCAGTTTGGAGAGAGATCGTCTCATGTTGGCTAGTGCTAAGCACAATTTACAATTCATGCCTTTCTTCATGTTGACTGAATATCAAAAAGTAAGAATTAATTTTTTTTTATTGATAACTAAGTGCATGTAAATATGCAAGTTTTTTATGTATGTGTTCATACGTTGCTTGCATTATTAATGGGTAAAAAATGATGGATTTATAATTTAAATTAATACATGTTGCGCATGTTCCAAATACTTATGTACATGTATCTTTAAGTTCAAAGTTATAATCTCTAATCTTTAATTTAACTATTACTTAATTGTGTATTAATTGCATTTATCATATTCTGGTATTGTATATTGTAGAGCTGTTTAAAATTTTTTATTTTAGCATATTAATGTTATTAATTTTGTATGCTTCGATTTATTTATAAATTTTTATTCATCAATTGTTCAAATTTTAAAAAAATTATTTTTTTCTAAGTTGCTTGATCCGTCTGAATTAACAAGACATTTTATGTTATACCAAAGAATCATCTGTTGGAAAGTAGCTCTTAATGTAAATATTTGTCTTGCCCACCCGTACATGGACGGTGAATATGCTTGTAAACATTCCACGCTTTTAACGTTTTAGTTTTAGTTATAAAGGCATTTTTCTTATTTTAAAAATACATCATTTTAATAAATATATTTTAAAAATAATATATTTACATTATTATTATTTAATTGCATTTAATATATTCGCAAAAATAAAATTAAAAAATTGAAAAATAAAAAAAATTATTTGAATAATGATTGCAAAAGATGAAATAAATAAATTAATTTGTACAAATTTATTTATTTATCTAATTTTATTTGAATATTATGTTTTAATATCATTCAAATTTAAAATATTCATAAATATTCACATATTTTTTTGTATAAAATACTAATATGTTTGTAGAATGCATTCAAATAATTTTTTCATCTATTAATATTAGGGAAAACTTGTTTTATATAAATTGTTATTTTTAGATCGTATAAAAATAAGATTAAATTTATAATGCAAATTAAAAATCTTTACTCAAAAATATATCCTACCATAAAAAATGAATGTTAATTTTCTTTTTAATTTTCTTATAAACTTTAATAATTATTATAATAAATTTTAAACTTTTGTTAATAATTTTTTAAAATTTAGTTACACGAATGTACCATATATTTAAAAAAAAATTTTGTATCAGAATTTCATATAAAAAATCTTATTCCTCGTTTTGATTATTTATTTTTATATATATATTTTTTTTAATTTTTCCGCGAAATGTACTACATTATTCAAAGTTTTTATATACAGTTTGTTTATTTGTGTTGTCATAAATTGCATAAATTGTGCATAAATATTATAAAATTAAATTAAAATCGAATAGGTGGGACAATATTCCTTTGAAGAAACATTTGGAATGAGATTTGCCGTTGCATTTGAACAACATAACGCGACATTGAGCGCTGCCACAATGGCTACCCTAAGCGTGGAACAGTTAGATGCTGTGCGTAGATTGAACAGACTGGATCTGGAACTTTATGATTTCGCAAAGAATCTTGCGTTTCAAAGATTCAAACGACTTAAAGATCGCGATCCATACTTTGTACAACGATTTCAACACCTTGGGGAATTACCTTCTAGGCAAAGTGCAACGGAATTCAATTGGGATTCTGTTATAGAAGATACTACAGATGTTGAATGATATGTAAGTATGTTAATGATAGATATTATTGATGCTTTGCATTCATAGCTAAGCAAATGAAATGTTGCTCTGAATCTGAGCATCTCAGGGAATCATCCTTGAAAGAAAAAATGTCTTTTACATAGAATTATTACATGCATTTGCTGCATGGAACTTACCAAAAGTGTTTATAGAAAATATTGTGGATAAGACCAAAGAGAGCTCAGAGAGGATTTTGAAATAATCTTTAGATCCTCTTTCAATAGCTATATATATAAAAAGATATATGTATAATTACATAAATTTTTTTATGATTTTTAAAATATTCATAAAATTTTCTTTTTTTTAAGTAGTTCTTCCATTCAATGCAATTTTTGCTTAAAATGTCACAATTAAGCTTAATCTTTGTTAATGTTATTATTTTGTATAGATGTAATTTACAAACAGATTTTTTTAATCTATGTTAAAAAGTCAATTCTAGAAAAAAATATAATTATTTCTTAAACGTATACTTACATTTTAGAAAAAGCTATTGACTTTAATGTTTTGCAAAAATATAAGTGTGTAGTATTTTATATGATACTCAATATTTTATATTTATTTGTTTCTCAAACGTGATAAAAATTAGTTTTATAATTTAGTAACTAAAATTATTGATATGAATTATAAAGCATATTTTTTTATTTAAATTTCTTATTTTTATTATCATATGCATAATAATATATTCATATTTGCGAATTTTAAGAATTCGTAACAAAAAAGAATAAATTTTCTTTCGATATGTATCGTGTATTGTAAATTTTATAATTATTTTAATGCAAATTATAAAGTATTTTAAAAAATAATAAATGTATTTAGATTCTTGTATTTAGAAAAAATTTTTAATGAAATATTTCTTGCTTTAAAATTATATCAAAGGTTACAAATTAAATCACAATTTATATTCCTAATTAATACGTGAAAGAGATAATAAAAGTGACATAATACATGTATAAAAATCTCTATTTATAGTGATTTTCAATGGAAGGATAAATATTACAAATTAATTTTGTAAATATATCTAAAAGTCTATATTTTTTAATAGAATCATTTGCAGTGTTATTTGAATGAAGTGGTATTAGGTTTAATAAAAGCGATCTATATAGTTTAAGTGATAAAATGTTCATGTGAATGTTGGAACGAATGGTCATTGGATAAACGTGTTTAATATTAAGCAGCCTGCAGATCTTGAAACATATTGCGATGCACATATATCGACTTAAGCGATGGGTTTAAGTCAATGGTTTTCATGAGACTGAAATATTATTTTATGATTTTCAATATCATGTGAATCATTAATTTAAACCCATCGCTTGAATCGATCACAATATATTTCAATGTGTGTAAGGGCCTTTAGATATTGATTATTTAACAGTCTAACTGCTCACAAATATCATTTTTACTATATTTCTTTCAATAATTTTATTTTTTATTATAATGCACACATAAACATTGAAAGTATCAAATTTACATTTTAATGAATTTGTCGCAAAAAATTAATAATCATTATATTAAAAATGTAGGTTGCATATTTAATATGTTGGAATCATACGTGCAATAAGACTCGATGGGTTACCATTATAAAATATTTTACATCATCCAGTCATGAAATAAATGTAATATATCCTTTATATATTAGATATATGTAACTAACTAACATTAAATCATTACGAAGCAAAATGCAAATGCTCTCTTTAGCTACGTATTCACCAATTATGTAAATGATCCCTAAACTCTTTGATGATTGGTAGAAATGCATGGCATATACGAACGTAAATATTCGTAAACGTTTATGATTGCCATACATCGAATTGAAATTCGTTATTTTCTGCATCCTATGGAAGCGAAGAAATATTAAAATATTGATTCTATTAATTGATTAATAATAGATGTTCTCGAATATATCCATATTATTCAATATTTATCTCGACAAATGTTTGAATTTTAGCTAACATCTTAAGCAAGTCATCATAAGTACATTTGTATGTTAAATATAAATATTTATCAATTTTCTAAGTCGCCGGTGAATACGCAGCTTTTAACGTATATTATTGATCTTCTGTATGATTACCATACTTATATTGTAAGTTAAATTGTAAAATGAGTGCCATCAGTGATATAAAACAAATTGATCTGTTATCTTTAGCTTTGCTATTACAAATGATTTATGTTAATTAGAAAAATATATCATTTATATTATTGTTCATAAATTTTAGGCTTCTTGTTCCTCAGCCTATAAAAATATTAAATATATTTTTTAATTGATTTGTAGATGATAGTAATATCAATTTGATTTTATAATTATAATATTTTTGGAACATTATTTGAAAATACGTAAAAATTAATTTGATATTATTACCATTCAAAAGTGAGCAATTTATGAACAATCTATATATACAAATATATATAATATTAAGCATTATAATATTATTAACAATAATGATCATTTAAAAATAACATTAAGGACCAAAGATTTAATAAGTTTTTATGAAAAGAGCAGAGAGCATATTACAAGCAATTGTAAAAAGGAAAATTTTTTATATGTTCTTAAATGAAGTGATCATTATAATTACATTAAGTCGAAAGATATACTTTATTATCTTTCCACTTAATATACTAGAGGTACAATAATAATATATTATAGGTACGATATTGAACTTGGGTAAAACATAAACAATCTTTTAAGCAATTGATGCACAGAAACAGATTTAGCAATATATCGCTATTTTCGCGTACTTGCCTTTATTATATGTTAAGATTTTCAAAATAATATGATCGAACTTAAATCACACAGGGTGTGCAGTATTTTAAAATTAACATAACATATTTAGAATCATTGTCTACTATTTTATTAATTTTTTTAGTTCAATAATTACATATACTTATCTCTGCCATTTTTTATCATACATATTGAAATGTTTCTCATTAAGTATGCAATGGAATGCTTGTGACTATTTGTAAACATTTATGAGATTGATAGTTACTTAAGTATTTACATTGTGAGCATTGTAAAAAATGAGCACATACTCATTCTGGATTAGTGTGGATGAAAGCCTAGCTTTAATATGTAATATGAAATTTTTAGCATGAAATTAAGTTGTAACAAAAATAATAATGAAAACAAAAAGCCATGACAGTAGCCTAATAAAATAAAGTATAGGCCTAAGCCAATGGTACCTTATGTAAGCCAGTGTACATACCATACCATTAAATCATTAAGGAACAATAAATTGTTGTGTATACAATATTATATACAATCTTATACAGACATATATATATATATATAAATATATATATTATATAAAAATATTATATGTAAGTTGTACACATATTTAAAATTATGTTATTTGATTATTAAACAATTATATAAAAGAAATATGGTTGTTTTACAATATTACCAAATTAAAACAAAAATTAATTCATTATATATATTACTATTATATTGTAAGCATTATTTTTGTAAACATTATTTTAAAAATGCAATTAAAAAAATGATATAGGCAAGATATAAATTAAAATGTTTATTTTGCAATCGTTAATTAAATATATTTGTACATTATTATTAAGAGAATTATTTCTTATTCATAAAATTATGTTTTATGAATTTCTTTCTAAATTAGAACAATTTTTGATTCCATATTTTATGTTAGAGAAATATAGGATGGACATAAAATGCTTTCAGTGTCAAGGAATAAAAAGACAAGGATTGACACTTATATAATAATATTTTTTGCTAGAGTAATGATTGCTCTAACATGATTTTTTCAAAACCTGTAGGTGGAGGATGAATAAAATTATCCAAAATTAAGTCTAGAATGGCCCCATCATCCACTATAAAGAAAAATTATTTCTTATTTAAAATATTAATTATTAAAACATTAAATTCCTTTAATTTACAATATTACCATAAAGTACTGGATAAACAGTTCCTTTTATGCCCATTATTGGAGCACCTATTGGTTTTCCATTTAAATAGAAATTAAGTTCTATGTGATCATAAGATACGCCCTGATAAATAAAAAATAATTAGTTTCTAAATTGAATATGATTTATAATTACTATAATTACACTTACTATAATATCTCCTTCTTGAACTGAACTTTGAATCTTATGTATTTCCTGTTGATTATGCCTTATAATAGAATCATAATTAAGAGCCCAACTTTCTTTGTCATTTCCTCCAATAGTAATATTAAGATCTGTGGACCTTGTAGCTAATCCAATAGCCCATATGCCACCTTGTTGTATTTTTACTTCAAAATAACTTTTGTTTTGGACAAGAGGAGCATTTGTTAAGGCACCACCACGACCACATACTCTTAGACCATTTTTTACTATCACAACTTCATGTCCTGCACCAGTTTAATATTTTTCTTAATTACTATTTTTATAGTTCTCGAAAAATTTTTTTATATTAATGTAGAATATATGAAAATAAATTTTTTATCATAAGATTAATGAATCGTCAGAGTCATTAAATGCACAACTTATCTTTAGGAATGCGAACATACAGTATATGTAAATGCGACGATACCATTAACACATTTTAAATACTATCGTTAAAATTATTTCAAGATTAAAATTAAAAATTACCCATATAAGACGTGTCTAAAGATATAGGATTTGGTTCTCTTTTCGGTGTTTGAGTTGCGGCAAAGCCAAGGCCGTCAAAACAATTTCTCAAACAGCAAAACATCATCTTTGTTCCCTTTTCTTTATAGTTTGTTTAGATTAACGATTGTAGCATTGTGACACTGTTAGGAGAAAATTTTTTTTCTCCCGTAGAATGAAACGAATAACTCGCGATATTTAGTTCGATTACATCGAGAATATTAAACACCATGCAATATTTGGGTATGATAGTAAGTTAGTATTGTGCGTATTTCAACGCAGAGATTGAACTTTGAGGTTTCCGTGTGTAGGTAGATTATACGTACATGACAGAAAATGGCTTCCTTTCAAATTTGTGCAATCAATATTAAATTCTTATTTCCTTTATATAGGTATGTTGCATTTTTGTTAAGAAAATTTAATATTATTATTAGTTTTTAAAAAATTTTAAATATTTGTATAATTTAAACTGAAAAATTTAATATATTACGCGTATGAAATTTAAGGTTATGTTTTTCATTTAAAAATACGTAAACTAATACGATTTTATTAAAATTAATACAAGTAATAAAATAAATTTTTAGTATTAAATAATATGAAATAAAATAAACTAATATTCATATTTTGAACGTACAAAAATTAAAAAAATAAATATATTTAGCAGGAAAAAAAAGTGAAACTGGTATTTAGTACCAAAGTGGTATTTATTTGTTTATTTTATACAATAATAATTTTTTATATCCGACTGGGATACAACATCTGTAACAAAATAATGAAATTAGCAAATTCATTTACATATTATATATAAGTAGTCCAATTATTATTAAACAACTTACAATCCTGATACGATGACCCATAGCTTTAGCTGGTAGATTTTTCTTAAATTTAGCACGTACTGAACCACTGGTTCCATGTGGCCGGGTTACCTTACCCCAAATAGCTCTAACTTTTGTTTTCCTGCTTTTCTTTCCAGGAACAGGTGTCTTATTTTTTGCCTGTAAATCATTAATACATTATGATTATAATAATATTCAATTTATATCATTTAATATTGTATTACAATATTAAATTCAAATAAAATAATTTAAGGAAAACAATGAAAGTTACCTTATATACATAAACACATCGTTTTCCTACATAAAAATTTGAATCCTGTTTATCTCTAGCTCCTTCAACTTTAAGAAGTGCTGTGTGTTCATGTTGATTACGCAATCCACGTTTATAACCAGTGAAAATGGCTTTAGCATAAAGACGTCCGTGTCTTTTAAAAGGCCTCTTTTTTAAAGGAGGAGGTTCTACTGGCTTCTCTTTCGGTTTTTTAGTTGCTTTCGTTTTGGACTTTGGTTCAGCAGGTGTGTCTGCCATTTCTAATAAAAAAAAAATATGAACTTTATAAAGTATAAAATTATATTACGACAAATTTTATTGCTTAAAAAAATCAAGCTTTAATTGCAATAAGCAATAATAATATATATATTAAACAAATTCTAGAATACGATGTTTTAGGTTATGATAAAGTAATGTTCGAATTGTAGACAAAAAACAAAACAAAATTTCACTTTAACGTCAAACTGAAATGTCTTTAATATAAGCTTTTTTAAAAAGATTCTCAGAAAACAATTTAATATTAAAGTATTGATATATTATAACAAAATACACGCGTTTGTTGTTATACGGCTGAAAATGCCATGCAAAGATAGATTCTCTAAATCCATTGAGATCGATAAAAAATATATCAAATATGACAATGAGAATTATTATATGATATCACGAAACAATTAATAACAACTTATAACTATTATTAATCTGTCAATTTAATTAATTTAACATATTTTAAATAATAAATACGAGAATCTGACACTAGAAAACGTACCGGATGTATATCACGAACTAAAAGAAACAGGAAACTGTAGCCCTCTTACGACAAAATATAAAATAACTTGAATGATAATGTAGTATGTGATATTATCAATAGAATAATATTTTTGTCCGTAATTATATTCTGAAAATCTAATAGATGTCACTAAATGTTCCATTAGCGTACATTTTTGTATTTCAAAATTATTTCTTAGAAAAATTTGGAAAATAATTACTTATATTTTCATATAATATCAAATTTTATATTATATTTTAATTACACGTTCAACATAACTACATGTGATCACATAATTTTAATAATTTTAATAATTAAAATTTTAATAACGGAAATTATAATTTAGAATTTATACAATTTATATTCAGAATAATAATTTAAATTGTATACCTAAAAACGTTATTCGGGAAATTTGATGAAATAGATATAAAACTTTCAATTCAAGTCATCAATTATAATTACAATTATATTCGATATTTTATTAAAAATAGATCAATATATATAATATATATATATTAGAATTAAAAATGACAATCTCATTTTTTAGAATTAATCATATAGTTTTGCCTATAAAACTTTTGATTATATAAAATATTCTACATAAAAATAATTTTCAAATGTTTCAATTTTTTTTTCTTTTTAAATATTTGGAAACAAGAATTTTTTAATTTTTTACCAATTTTTTTGAAAGTCTAAAATAATAAAAAACTCTATTATAAGAATTAAATGAAGTAACTATGAGGTCATAGGTAATTTGGCGTAAAGTAAAAGAATAATAAAAGAATTAGTAACTGTTTAAATCGAATTTATAATCCAATATATGTAGAAAAAGATAGAGATTAACAATTTATTTATCGAGAAAAAGAAAACATTGTCTCTTCCACGATCAAAAATTCCTTTTTTTTTTTCAATTTTAACATTTTTCATCGAGTTATCGCGCAAATGAGACATTATCGCGCAGCGATATCTCCCTTTGCATTTTTCTACGTGATTAAAGTCAAGAATATCGCGTACACGTCAAACAAGAAACGCTTTGTCCCGGAAAATTAGCACGTATAGGCGTGAACCAATTCAGGACACGTTCCAAGGAAAGTGATATGAAAGCAACGATTCATCGATTTTATAATACAATCTTGTTTGCCCTCAATCGGATCGAGAAAATTGAAGCACAAATGACTCTGTTTGTTATCTCCGCAATATACGAGGTGATGTTAGTTTTATCTCTAACTTCTTGACTTTGAAAAATTCATCTAAAATTGATCTTTAAAAGAATTCTTTATGGATTTTTCACGACAACTTTATAACATTCTTCTCTAAAAAAAAAAAAAAAAAAAATTGCATACATAAATTTTTATAAATTGTAAATATAAATGTAAAATTGTATGTTTACAGAGTGGACAAAGAACGTGCGAGACAGCAAATCTCAAAAGCAAATTGATTAAACTTGATAACTATATGATATATTTATTTTAAAAATCGTGGCTACAAAAAAAAAACCTCGAATTAACCTTTAGCATTAATTCTCGAACAAAGGAAAATCACCAAAAAAATTATTCCACCTTCGACCGAAAACAATTAATAAACAAAACCAAACTACTCAACGCTTCCCAACATTCATTCAACGCAAACCAAGCCACACTCCGGAACAACGGAAAAATTCTCACTTTTTCTGCTAAAAAAAAAAAAAAAGAAAAAGAAGTACCTCAAAAAAAAAAAGGAAGAAAAAAAGGGGTTGAAGCACAGAGGAACAACATAAAAGCGGAGAACATTTCGTTTCCAATGAGAGGTCGCTCTTTACGATTCGCATTGTTCGCAAACGTGCTCGAGCGTTTTACGCCGATAGAGCGTGCTTAAACCCCCTTTAACCCCAACGATATAAAAACCGTTCGTTTATTTTTCGTCCAGTTTTAAAAAATTTCGCCCATATTTATCATCGACCCTTTCGTTCGAGCCTAACGAGCCTAAATTTCGTCAAACCCCTCCCCAACCAACCTGGAATTCACTTGGACATCCAGTTTCTTACGACACTTTCCTCGCGACAGTGTCTAACCCCCTCATATATAATATTTTAAGGATAAAAGGGAGGACAGAAGGAGGGAATAAGAAGTAAAATCGTGGAATCGCCGCCACCGGTGGATTTATGCCTGTTCGAGAAGAAGATTTACGATCGAGGAGGATCGTGCACCGAGAATTATTGGGGAGGGGGATGTACACTGAGTTAAATTTTTTTTTTTTTCTTTACAAAGAGAATCCCTCTCCTGGTTAGAAGCATCCAGGCTTTCTTTCATTCGTTCAGGGGTGAAAAGCAAGTTGGAAAGATTTTTGTCGAGCGTCTTCTTCGAGCGGGTTCCACAGTTATTTCCGGTTGGTTACGTTGGAAGTGGGTTACGCGAAATTGCGAAAGTGAGGTAAGAAAATAGGTTGGATACACACGCGTACGTTGAAGATACGATGATGGTAATGGAACATTTGTTGTGCAATGGAATTGTGAACATGCAAGTGCGCTCGGAATGGAATATCTCGGGGATATTCGTAAGATCGTTAAAGCTGTAAGATCTAATCCTGGATTACATTCGGATAATTGAATCCGTGTATACACACGGGGTATTTTAAGTAGATCGTAAATTTTAAAATACGAAATTTCTTTTCATTCTACTTGCCACTGCTCGTACAAGTACGTTCTCCAAGATTTCGAAACGAGTAAATCGTGCCTGTACATACACGAATAATTAACCACCAACAACCAAATTGTTAAGCTATCGCGTCTATCAAAACTCTCCTCGTTAACATCAACTCGAGTCCCATTCAATCCGGTTCGACATCCCTCCTATTCATCCGTCTTCGAACACCACCAAGTCCAACAAGTTGATACATCCAGCCCGGCTACAATACCCCTTCCGTTACAATTAAACGATACAAACCGATACCCCTTTCTCCGCTCTTTCTCTTCCAAGACTACCTTCAATTTCGAACCGACGTGTGAACCGATACTCGGGCCGATCGATACGCGATCTCGTTCCATCGCGTCATCGTCGCGAGAACCATTCGTTGGAATTTCATCGAATTCAAACCGAGAGAAAGGGACGGAGAGAGAGAGAGAGAGAGAGAGAGAGATACACACGTATCAGATTCGGCGCTCGTTTTATGCGTCGCACAGTGGGGAATAATCGGAGCGGAAATTCACCGGGCATTGTTTCTACTGACGCAGTTCACTCGACGCCGCAGACTCTGTCATTCGAGCCGCTCGCTCGTTCCTCCTCGTCATCGTCATTATCATTGTTATCAACCTTCCCCACCCTGTCGTCGTCGTCGTGGTCGTCGTCGCCAGACACGCGACAAATGACGATCTCGCCGGGGTGAAACCGGAGAGAAGCTGTTTTATTTTTCTCCCCCTCTTCTTTTCACCAGAAGCCTTTTTCTTTTTTTTCTTTTATCTCGCCTTTTATATCGACTTCTCGTCGATCATCGTGCGCACGAGAGCTTCTTGCGATTGCGCTTCGATCGCTGCGATGCTACTGGTGATTACTTATCTCTCTCTCTCTCTCTCTTTTTGTATTATTCTTTGGCAGCGATGATGTTAGGGAAACGGATTTCTTTTGAACATTTTTTCCTGATAAAATTGAAAAACTTTATATGAAAATTGAACTTTTAATTTCGTCGAATTCTACGAATGGAAAATTTTGAATAATTCAAATTTTCTTTTTTTTTCTTTTCTAGGGTAATTCGGTGATGATACATGGAATGATGTATTATTCTCGAAAATTCTTCGATTATTTTCGAAAAATCAATCCTCCCCTCGTTTCCACGAAAATATAAAATTACAAGCAGCAACTTGTGCAGGGACAAAAATATACATTCTCGTTCGAATAGTGAAACTTTCGAATAGTTGTAGAAATTCGAGCATCCCTCCTCATTCAACGGACGTCTCCGTCGATTGTCCTCCCTCTTCGTCAACGAGCTTTCGTCCGTCTTCGTCCCACCCTCTCGAGGGACACAGGAAACAATGTCATCTATCTTCCGCCCGTGATCCACGTCCGGCGCATCGTGGCGAAATTACCGCCACTGATACACTGTCGTCGTCGGCCGCATCCCC